ACAATTGAATTAGCTGAATCAATACATATGCATGAAGCCAATACACATGCAGTATAATTACCACTCTTAGTTGCTGATCAATGTTTGTGGGTTTCTTCATCTCTATACCAACCTCTTCTGCTTTTAGTTTAGCCTAAAAATTAATAGATCAACAAGACATTACTTTATTACACTTACTTTAAGTTTGATGCAGTCTTTCTGGTAAGTATCCAATTCTTCCTTATACGAGTCAACAATACATTGTTGATGGTTGTTAGCAGTTGCTAGTCTGCCATTTAACTCTACTGCCTCCCTCACTTCAAGGATATAAGTAATATCATATATTAGTAAATATTATCAGTATAGTATACCATTTGATTCTAATGTCTCAAGTAGTTTAGTGACTTCAATTACTTTTGTCTCCATATCAACACACTGCTGTTCCATTTGACTCAATTGACTGTGATAATTCTCTTGTGAGACATTTAATACTTGAAGTGTATACTCCTATAATATATGTGTGTGTGTTTGTGTGTGTGTGTGTGCATGTGTGATGTACATGTACATGTACATATATATGTGTATTAATGTCAAATACTTATGCACTAACTTGCTCGCTGAGCTTCTTTTCTAAATTATACTTGATCATCTATAATAGATTAAATATGATATCTCTTTTCAATTCCACTTACATGTAAAGCTCTTATTTCATCTTTCAGTGCTTGGAATTCCTTTTCCTTTCCTTCAAAGAGGCACTTTAGTTTAACCTTATGAGCATAAATGTATACATACATGACTTGAATCTAACTATGAAATTCATCATAAACTCAAAAACTAAATTCATCACTGCACAATATCTCAATACTTACATGCATTGTACTACAAATTTAATAATGATTCTGATCCAAAAATTATTTACTTTCTCCTCCTCAAGCTGTTTCAACTGTTCATTGCATTTCCTCTCAGTCTCCTCCTCCAAGTGAGAGTGAGATTCCAACACTTCATTCAACTGCTGAGTTTGTTTCTCCTACAAGCCAAATTGACATAGCATACAATAAAACACTAGTGCATATAGTGTTGAGATAGTGTGTTAGATAAACATGCTCTGGCTTGTGAATTACTATACTTGAGCCATAAAAGGGAATGGGTCAGTTGCTTAAAGTTAATTCATAGCAGCATCGATGTCTATGTGATGAATATTCTTAAAGGGTGTGTTTGTTAAGA